CCCAAAATTCTCAAACATAGTTTTGAGGGTGTGGGCATTAGCAGTAATAGCTTTACCAAACAGTAGGAGGTCATCAGCATACAGTAAATGGGAGATAACACAATTGCCATGGCAAATGGAAGAGTAACTGTAATTAGAAATGACATCCTCAATGCAGTTGGAAAGACCGTCCATCACACTGCTAAAAAGATAAGGGGACAATGGACAGCCCTGACATAGACCAGCTTTAGAATTAAAAAACCCCTCCAATGTTCCATTAATACACACAGAGAAATAAACATCTGATGTACAAGCCTTTATCCAAGAGATGAATAAATCCGAAAATCCCTTATCAACAAGCCTTTTATAAAGAAAAGTTCTAGACACCGTATCAAAATCTTTGGTGATGTCAATTTTGGCACAAAAAAACTTATCCTTGTTTTTTTTATTAAAAATCCCAAGGAGTTCAGTAGCCAAAATAATGTTATCAGTGATAATTCTTTTATGAATGAACCCATTTTGACTAGGATGTATTATAAAAGGCATAACAACTTTCATCCTATTAGCAATAAGTTTAGCAATAATCTTGTAAATAACATTGCAAAGTGAGATAGGTCTAAAATCCTTGATATTATTGGCATGAGGGAGCTTGGGAATGAGAGCAATGGATGTTGCTTTCATAAGCTTGGGCATATGGTAGGAAGTGAAGAAGTAGTTAATGGCCTTGCAGACATGAAATTTTATAGTTTCCCAAGAGGCTCTGTAAAATTCAAAAGTAAACCCGTCGGGACCAGGAGCTGAATTTTTCTTACCAGAGAAAATAATGCCTTTGATTTCATCCATAGAGACAGGGGCAATGAGAGAGGAGATAAGATGAGGGGGAATCACATTACCAACCGGGATGCTCTGAAATTGAGTAGAGTGGTTCATGGTGTTGAAGAGTTTGGTATAATGACCAATGAAGGCTTGTGAAATGCCATGATGAGTGTTGAACGAGCCCAGGTCATTAGACATATCTTTGATGTGGCCATAGTTTTTGGTAGCATTGATTTTGGTGTATAAGAACTCTAAATCATCCTCCCCGTGAGTGAGCCAGTTAACCTTGGCTCTTTGGGCAATCCAGCTAGAAAGAGTAGAGTGGTAATAATTGAGCTTGTTGTTGACAATTTTCAGGTTCTCGTTAAGATTGCTGTCTAGAGGGTCAATCTGAATTTGGCTGAGCACATGGTGCTGGGTTTGAGAAAGAGAATCATCCTCCCTTTGGATGTTATTGAAGTTAGCCCAAGATTTGTGTTTGATCTTGTTCTTGAGAGTCTTTAGCTTGTAGATGAAGGAGCTAAGGGGGATACTTTCATTGGGCTGAGAGAAAGTGTCCAGTAAACAATTTCTTTAGGAAATTTTGTGCAATAATTCTTAAACAGAAATCTGTGATCCCTCGAAATGTCCTCATAATTCAACAGCAAAAGTGGAGAGTGATCCGAGCAACTTGGATCCCCCACTTTATAGTAAGAATTAGGGAAGAGATTAAGCCAACTGTCATTAACCAGCACACGGTCAAGTTTGATATGGATGGGGTTGTTGTATTGTTGATTGAACCAAGTGAAGAAATGCCCCACAGATGAAAGGTCTTGTAATCCAGCATTAAAGATCATGTTATTAAAGTCACCAAGAGAGCTATTAGTAAGAGGTGACCCCCCCAGCTTTTTCAATAGGCAAACGACAACAGTTAAAGTCACCAATGACAATCCACGGAAACCTCATGTCAGTAGCAATATTTTGTAAATCCTTCCAAAGAGTTTGCCTTTCAATATAAGAGTTACTATCATAGACCACAGTGACATCAATGGTATAATTAGCATCCAACCTAATTATACCATGAATCAGTTGACTAGTGATAAGTTGTGGGGTAAAGGACACATTGCCATCTTTCCATTTGACCCAAATACGCCCGAGATTTGAATGCTGGAAATTATCACAGGAGCTTTCCAAAGGGAAGATTTTGTGTTGGTTATGTAACCAAGGGTTGGTGAGGTTGGCATTGGAGATTTTTACTTCAAGTATGAAGAGGAGGTCAATATTGTGGCTTTTAATAAGGTTTCTACAACATATAACTTTTTCAGGGCTGTTAAACCCGCGAATGTTCCACGCTACAAGCTTAGGAGGTTTTACTGACATTTGGGGTTGGATGGTTTTTTGGCATTTTTGCCATGGGTTGATTTTTGATTTTGCTGGGCATTAGGTTGGGAAGTTTGGGTTTTGCTAGAGTTTGAGCTAGATGAGGGTTGTTTAGTGGGGGGAGGAATGATAGGTTGGAGGTTTCTTGGAGAGATTTGTGGAGGGCTGCTGTTGTTTGGGTTAGAGAGGATTGTAGTAGAGATTGGAATTGGGTTGTCAGAAGGGTGTTGCTCAGCAGATGAGGTATCTACCAGAACATCAAATTTGTTCTTAGTGTTGATGGAGGGTTGGTTTTCCATAGGGGCAAGACTTGGGTCCAATAGAGAGACAAGGTCTCCAGAAGGCGAATTAAGGTTAGGGATTATAGGCCCTGGTTGAGGATTTTGAAGAATTGGATCTGTTTATGGTTGATGGTCTGGTTTTGAAAGAAGAACAGGTTTTAGGATTATTAGGCGAGGAGGAGGGGTAGCTCTTGGCTTGCGGCTGGTGCTTCTTCCTCTAGGCTTGGGAGCAGTAGGTGGTCGAATGATGGGGTCCTTGGGGCAAAGGGTCGGGGGATGCATGATAGAACCGCACTGGGAGCAATGCTCAGGCTTCCAGTCATATTGCACACGCAGCGGGTAAGATTTTCCATCAACAGAGTAGAAAATTTCATCAGGGAGAGGAGAGGAACTAGTAACTTGCACACAAATTCTAGCGAACGTCAATCTAGTTTTTGCGGCAGTGAGAGCATTGACTGCAAGGGGAATACCTACACAACTTGCAAGCTTAGAAATACCTTCCGGTGTCCAGAGAGAAAGTGGCAGGTTCATTATTTTGATCCACAGTGGGATAGACGGGAACTCTTCCCTCTTAGGGATGAAGTCAGGAGTCCACTTTTGGAGGATAAAGGATTTTCCGAAGAAGAACAAGGGTCCTCCGGTCCACGCAAGCTCATAGTCTTCTAAGGCAGAAAACTTTAGGAGAAAAAACCCATCGTCCATGGTGAGGAGGGAGAAGGAACCTTTAAGGTTCCAAGCTTTTTTGATTGTCGTCAGCAAAGCCTCGTAGAACGGACGTTTACCGATTGAGTATCCAACGAGGGAAAGCGACCATTCTGATGCACCAGCAACAAACTGCTCAGCAATAAAACTGGTGGTGAGGTTCTGCGCTGGAACGAAAGAGAGCGAATGCGAGAAGGTCGTGGAGACCTGGGGGGTAGAGGCTAAGAGGGGTTTCCAATCAAGAGGAGAAGTTGAAGGAAGGAGGGTGGGGGTGGTGGAGGCGAGTGGCAGGGAGAGCAAAACTAGGGCACACTAAAACCCTTTGACGCTCTAACTTTCGTTGTTGAAATGCTAAGTAGCAGCCTTATTAGTGAAAGCCGTAACAGTCGAGTGTAAATATAAATTTTTTGGGGGAAATTCAGATATTTTTTTTAGTACTAAAATGTAAATATATATTATACTCATCTCTCATTTTGTCTCTAATATTGAAGTCACTCATCCACCCAAACATGCTCATCTTTGCAAAACTTAGGTTTCATTTGAAACGGCTTTCTTATTGTTTTTTAAAGCAATTTTCTAGCACAAAATTAAAAACATTTGTATTAAAAATTTGTTTTAAGAAGCAGATAAAAAGCCATCTCAAATGAAGCCTTAATTTGATTTTATACTTATTTTCTTAATGGCGAACATTCCAAATCATAAAGGATTATGATTTGTTAATTTAGATGATAAATACGTCTATAAAAATTACATATTCAAGCTGAAAATATTATTATAATTATCATTTCACAAGAATTAAAATTCTAATATGCATTTTATTTTTCATTGCTTTCTATTTCAAAAATTTAATTATCATCTAAATTAACTAATCGCATCGCAACCAATGAGCGAGATTTATGGCATTTGCATGTAATAATTTCCTCATTCCAAATCTGCATTTCGCTATTAATGATATTTAAATTCATTAAATTTAAAAGAAATTAGGTAAATAAAAACTTTATTCATTCGTTCATAACAAAAAAAAAAAATATTTAAAAACTAAATACATATAAACGATTAAAATGATAATTAAAAAATGTTTAAAAATAATAACAACTAAAAATGGCTATATGAAGGCATTAGGCCTCCATAGTGGTGGCCCCTCTGTGCTCCCCTCCCTCTCAACCGGGGCCCACCTGAATGGCCCGAAGGACAACTGTTGTTATTCACCACTGTCGTAAGGCCACCATCAGACTTTTTCCCATTCACAAAATAGCAATGGAGCCTTTTTAGTTTTTCGTTTTCTCCTCACATTTCCCGATATCTCGACCCTTAATCTTCGTGCCGGGGAAAAAAGAAAATGCTGTAGCTGTGTCTGTTTCCTGCTCCTCTTCCAGCCTGCTACGCTATGCTCTGCTGGAATTTTTATTAGGTCCAGTGTAAGGACATAGAGGTCCGATGTAATCGTGTAAGGACGTAGAGGCAAAATCCCGTCAAAAAACTCTGTATTTGCTCGATATTACTAGGTATTATTTGATGATAACGATGAATACCGCTCTGTGAAGATCAATACCGAGCTATACCGAGTGTCCCGAGTTTTTTCTAGGAAAAACTCGAACAACTTTCGTATAACTCGATATTGCTCGGTATACCTCGGTATTGAGTCTTCACGTGATGGTATTCCTCGTTATTGTTTGGTATTGCTCGGTATTTCTCATTTTTTGGCGCGATTTGACCTCCGATCGGACGTTCCTCTATGTCCGGTCGGAGGACGTAATAATTGTTAGCTCTGCTGGCCCTCCTAGTCTTATAATAATTAATTATTAGGAATTAAATAGTCCCAATTTTGAAAATTATTAATTATATTTATACAGACATAGGGAATTTAAATACAAACATAACATATTCATTAAGGTAAAAGGAGAGGGGTGACAAAATCAACATAATTGTGAAAACAAACAGGGAAAAGGATGCCCGATTTCGGGCGGGCAACAGTGACATAGGGAGGAACCAGCTGTGCTTGGAAGCTTCAGCATCTAATAAACCGAACAGCCCAATCATCCCGGCCCGCCCAACCCGCACCGCCCAACCGACGGCCGAGATGAAGCAAGAAAGATCAGCGAGGAATCTTGGATCAACGAGCATCAGAGGCCGCGGGGGCGGAGAAAGATTCGCCGGAGCCGGCGGGACGCCAGGCCGATGTGGCGATGAGGGGACGAGTATGCCACCCGAGGGTGAGGCAACCATCCTTCTCTTCCACGCGGTATCCATCGCCGCCGGCGAAGAGGGCAAGGAGCATGCTAGCCTGCTTAAAGGCGTTAGAGCCGAGGTGGACGGGCTCGAAGTCGGCGTCTCTCATCCTTCCTCGCCATTGAGATAGTGTCTCGTGGCGCTCTGTCCGCTCCGTCCCCTCGCAAGCCACTACGTTGCAGATCTGTCTGCCGAGATAGACTTCCGACATAAACTGGTCCTGCTGCCCATCGGCGATGCCGCCTCCCTCCAGGGAATCGAACATCGTGGAATAGAAGTGCAGTGCCTCGGTGAACCGGTCCATGAACGGACCGGCGTTATGATTCGCGTCCTGCTCGACGATGGTCACAATCCGCGGCTTCAGCGCGCGAACTGTGCCAAGGACCTTCTCTAAGGCCCCAGGCCGCGCCAGTAGACCGTGGAGCTCGAAGACAGAGTTGATCGCCACGACTTCTGGTTCGTCGGAACCGCTGTTGGCAGAAGATGGGGACTCAAGCATGTAAGGTTCGAGGTCGGCTAGACTGTTTGCGACAAACCCGCGGTATTCGAAATCAACGTGGATGGTGTCCGCAAGCTGAGCGAGCTTCCAACCGACTTGCTGCAGAGCGTCGGTGTTATCCGGTTGGGGAGGGCCGATTCCAGTAAGGCGGAAGGACGGAGGACCTCCAGGGCGGAGAGCGAGCGCCTGCATCAGTGCCGGCCATTGCATCCCTTGTTTCATGCTGAAATCGATGACGTGAACCCGGCGGTAGCCGGCAAAGGCCTCTAGAATGGCTTGATTGGCCGTGAAGTGGGCGAACTTTAGATAAGGGCAGCTCTCATAAAAGTGCATCTGGAGGATGTCGGAGAAAGCCGAGTCTAGCGAGCAGTCCTGCTGAGGATTGAGGCAGTAAATCCGGCGAGCGAGGGCCTCAGCAAAATATCCTGCGACCTTCCGCATAGCGCCGCCCTGGGATGAGGCTAGCATCGAGATCTGTTTGACGAGAATATCCGACGCCTTGTAATTCTCCTGCTGGACCGCTTCTGCGCAAGCCATAAGTGCGTGAACCAGACGGATTCCGACCTCCTGAGTGTCCTCCATCACCACCGGCATCGCGGATGATACTTCGCTGCCGCAGGTGGAGGTAGACATCGATCCGATTGCTGGCGCAGACCGTCCAATCACTCCGCCAGATCCGCCTCTGGAAGTCGATGAGGAAGAGGAGGTCTTCATGCGTTTCCGATCTCTGGGTCCAGTATTCTCCATCTGTGTCTCCGATCCGTATACAGCACGGTTTCCCCCAGCGCTGTTACTTCGGAGTGAGTAATCAGCAGGAAGCATGGCAGCTGACGGAGTAGACAGCTCGATGGAGGTAACGGTGGAGGATTCCATAGTGGCTAGAGTTTCAGCAGAATTAAAGAAGTTAGACGATGAGTGGCCGGACATCGGGTCTGGCGGAAAGTCAAAAACTCCGGAATTAGGATGCATCACTGGCGGCAGTGGCGGGGGAGGCGTGCTGAGCTCGGAGAGCATGCTTTCGAGCCAGTTCGATATATCGGACGGATTATAGTGCACGGTGTCGGCGGCAAGGTGGTTAAGTAGCGCATCATCCTGCGGAGCACCACCCCCCATCGCCATCTCCAGTTGCTGCAGCTTCTGCGCCACGATCTCCATGTCGGAGGATCTCACCTTATACCCCAGCACCGCTAGATGCTCGTCCTCTGTCTCCTCGTCGAACCCCATCATCTTCGCCTTCCCCATCATCGCCATCCTCGCCGGCGCCGGAGCAACATTCCTCACAATCCCACCTCTCGCGACGCCGTCCATGTTCTCCCTCTTCATCGCCTCTCCGTTTCTGGAGACGGAAGGATTGAGATCAACCTAACTAGCTAGCTGCTCTTCAGCTTCAAAAAGCAAAGATGTGACTCTTGCAATCGGCCCGCTCTCCGAAATCTCACCCCAATATAGCCATCGAGGGATGGAATATAGCAAACGGTGAAGGGACGAAAGGGCGAGTAGATGACGAGTGCACGGATAGCTACTTAGAACAGGAGCGGAGGATCGGAGAAAGTAAGAAATGAATAAAAGCTTGGTCTCAAAATATGGACAGATATGACTGATATAATATATTTTTCATTAAAAAATTTATTCATAAATCTTGCATTAGAAAAAATAATCAAAATATGTAAACTTAAAAAGAAAAAAATTGACTTAAGGGCTATTTGATTTATCGAAAAAAAGATCGCAAATTAAAAATAAGGTAGTGTAAAAGAAATACAATATATTTTAAGTATTTTAAAATTATTTGGATGAGTAAAATAAATGCAAGTAATTATTTTATTAAAATTTGGCTTGAAATAAAAGGAATTCAGTGTTCATTACAACGATAGCAATGGCTGACGGTGGTGACAGTAGAGTAGGAGATTGTGGGCGGCCACTTGTAGCTGGTCTCGGTGGATAACCTATGTTGGGTGGCAGGTGGCGACCAGGGCAACTATAATAAAAAAATTACAATGTATTTTAAAATTGACCAAATCAAACGACTTTCAAATACACCAAAATTGAACATGTAGGTGAATTTCAAATACTTTTGAATTTTACTTTGCATTTCTCTCATTTCAAATCGAACACTAATATTTTAAAAACCCTTATATTTGAAATATTTATCTACGGTTGATACCCAGTCTTACTTCTAAGACTTATAAGACCTCACCATGTAAAAGTCGTAAGAGAGAAAAAAAGGAAAAAGTAGTAGAGTGAGAAGAGAGATTTTAGGTATTCTTAGTCTTGTCCTTTTAATTGTTCTATGACATTTTATTTATAGGGTTACGAGGCTACAAAAAAAAAAAGCTAAATAAAGAACAAACTTATTTACAAAAGCCAAGTAGCCTAATATATAGCTAAAAGTATAAAAATAAATATGAATAATTGACACATATCACATGCCAAGTGGGTCTCTCGAGGGTTTAGTGGAGAGTATAGTCATGCCAAGTAATTGAGAGACAATTGTATTTATGCCAAGTGATGAGTAATGAGTGTAGTCTCATTGAGAGATGACTAATGCTTGCCTCTTGGCGAGTGCACTTTGGTCTTTGATTAGTGCACTTTTAAACTTTTTTCTTCTCAAAGTATGCTGATGTTGAAGCTGCTGATATTATTGGATAAGCATTTAGTTCCCTTATTTTCTTATATCTTCATATAATGGCTTGCAAAAAGAAATTAGAGAATTAATAAGCAAAAATACGTCGAGTAGATATTTTAATAACAACTTTCTAGTTAAAAAAGAATTTAAAGTTGTTTATCATTTATATCTCGAGACTTAAATGATGCCTAAGATGGGTTGACCAGGTGGACCTGATGAATGAGTCCACCGAGTGATTAGTGCCACTCCTTGAATGATTTGAAATTTATTACCTTTTAGGTTTATTGGAAATACCTTCCCCTTAGAGGGGAGAATCAAGTTAAAAAAGGATTAATTAAGCATAAACTTTACTTCTTTAAGGGGCTTTGGCTTTCCAACAAGTCTTATGCTTATGGCCTACTTCTACTCGCTTACAAGGAGTAGACTTAAACACAAATCAGTATACCATGTTTATGTAAAATAATTTCAAAATATATTAAAATTAGAAAATAGGATTTCCTTATTTCCTAAAATTTATCTAATTTTAGTAATAATAAATCATTAAAATTCAAAGATAGCTCTAAATGTGAGAGATTGTTCCCAAGATCCTCAAGAGTCTATTGCTTAGACTTTTTGAAGATTACAATTCATTTAGGGGAATAACCCAACATTAATTTACATACAAGAAAATTCCTATAATATGCCTTTAAACTAATTAAATTCATAACTAATTAAAAAATGTGAATTAAAGTGTACTGAATTTATAAAGAACCCTAGAATCAAAGGAAATGTATTTAAATAGATTTATGAATAGTAAACAAACTTTAGGGCTATCAATAATAACAAAAAACTATAAAAAACACTTAATTACCTCTCAGATGTTATAAATGTTAAACCATCTCTTGAGTGAGTTATACATGTTGATAAGTCTAGGGTGCTTTAAATGACATGGCTCATCTTACGAAGAATTGTGCGTATTTAATCATTCTTGAAATATTGAAATAAAATTGAAACCTCAAACCTTAAAATATAAATAAAAACTATAAATCAATTAGAACTTAAATTGAAATTACCCTTGAGTTAAATTGAATAATTTTAAATTAAAGATGAAATATAAACAAAAAATAAAGTGACATCCTCATAACTTAGCATATATTAAGGATTGGATAGAACTCCAACCCTAGAATTTCTAGGAAAGGTTGTTATTTTCTATGTTTATTTTAATATTTTATCATACATTATTCAGTATTTCACTTCAAAAGAATATTTTCTTCAAACTATAATCAAATCAAAACATGTTTACTTGATATATCAAAACCTTAATATGTGTAAAACTAAAGCTAAAACATGTGTGGACATTTGAAAGGACATCATTGTATGGGGGAATAAAGCACAAATGGTATACGACCGCACCATCTCGAGGGATCGGACGAGACAATCGCAAGCATCCGTGCTCTTCGCAAGTGAGCCAATAGAAGGGCAGATTAGATCGCACATATGATTAACCATTGAGGATAGTGGCTCTCGCTAACGCACCCTGATGGATAATAATATGCACGACTTGATTGAAACAATCGATTTCCCCCACCCGATATATCAACCCAAGGGGGGTTTATTTGATGGTAGAATTTAGTTTCTCACTGGCGCAAAGTCCCTATGGTTAATTATATCTCAAGTCGAGGCCTGAGAAAACTCTCAATTAAGGATCTTATATTGTCCTCTTTGAATGAGATTGACACATAGGGGAAAGACTAGAAAGTCCTACTCAATGGAAAAGAAGGGTTCAAAGTGGCTTAGTCAATACACACGGCTCAAACTAACACGTGGAGGGACTAAAGCATTTAGAAGAAACTAGAGAGAAAAAAAAAGCCAAGCACTAAAAGAATATATGAGAGAATGATGGAAGTGACATCATCCATGTGACGCAGAAATGTATGATTTATAGCCCCTAAAGAATAGGCGAGTTATCCACCGATGAGGGATACTACGAGACATCGAATATAATATCCTTGAATCCTAGATCTAAGGTAGATTTAGTATTCTATATAACACTGACACCCGTGTTCTAGCTAATACATCTAGGCTTATATCCTGCCTGAAAAGGAAAATCATCTAACCCCCTAAACTTATAAAATCTATACTATCTGGTCTTTATAAAAGATGGGTGGGAGGTTGAGTTTTTAAAAATAAGATCGACGTTTAGAGAATTTTATAATTGTCCTTAGACTTATATATGGTGAATGCTCCTAGAGCTAATATAATTAGAACTTGATTTTAATTATTTTATAATACAATGCATGCTAGTTAAAAAATTTCTAAATCATAAATGCATGAACTTTAAAAAAGTCTTATAAAAATAATTTTTTTGGAAAAGACTGAGCTTCCCCAGGTCGGAGACCTCATCCTCATAGGTCAGATTATTCGGACTCTATCAGTAGATGGGAAAGTGTCATATAGTAAGGAATGAGAGAAATACATTAATATGCATGTGGCCTCAGACAATTTTGGCTATTCCCTAGATTATTAGATTTATATGTTATTTAATTCCTAAAACTTTTAGAATTTAATTACGAGTATAAAAAGTTTTAGTCCTTAGAGAGTATAATGAAGTTAGGCCACACACATGCAAGCAAGAAACCTAAAAAAATAGACAAGTTCTACTGTGCAATCAATGTATACAAATCAATATAAATAAAACTAGGCATAGTAAAAGAAGAAAATTTATGGCAAGTGTCATATAATTATAACCAGAATATGCATAAAAGTAATGGTGGTCAGGCCCCACTGATAATAACCTAGATTCTAATCCTACTAAATGACGTAAGTCTTAAAAGCAAGGTATTTCATCTTCAAGTCTTCATATGGATCATCTTCCTTCGATCTTCGTATGGTCCGTCCTCTAGAACTGTACCCAAATGAATAAAAAATTTCTTATGAAGGGTCTTTTTTTTTTTCTTTGGGTACATAGTATTTGAAATACCTCACTTTTAAGGACTTTCACAACTTGATTATATTATATCATGAAAAAAAAAATCTAGACTCTCATGCATGATTATCCTAAGTAGTTAATGAAAAATACCAATCAGTTATATATATGTGTATAAAAGTAAACACACTTGAACAAGCTCTTATTTATTTTGGGGGCTATATTCTCTGGAGCACTTGTAGCAAGTAATTATATAATTTACTATGATTTTATTTTATCTCCTTTTATTTTAGTACTGCATGAGCATGATCACATGCATAAGATTGAGTTAGTATAAATCATCTCTAATTTAAGAGTAGATATAATACACAATATCACATCATAAATAAGGAAAGTATATTAATAAAAATAAATAATCATAGTAAATCAATTCAACCAGCACACGTACCATATAAAAGAGCGTACAATACATAAGATAGGAAAAAGTAAATCACCGATCTAGCCTAGAGCTAAAAGTGGAGCCTTAACAAATAATTCTACATGTGTGTAGAAGGATTGTTTGGCTTTGGATATGTCATATTTCAGGTAGTTAGTTCAAGTTGCCTTATGTTCGAGTTTGTTGAAGGTCAAATAAGGAAATTTTAATTAGAGTTTAAATATTAATGAATTATGATCCATTTTAATTAAGTTAGTTGGTTGGTCTATTTTAATACTTAGAGTAATATTCTTTAAAGATCAAATTGCATTAATTGATTTTAGAAGGTTAGGGGTCATCCTACCCGTTAAGCTAAGGGGGTCCAAAAGGTTGCTTTTAGAAATAGGTGAGATTTTAGAGTTCCAAAATTTTTATTAAATAATAAACATTACAAGGAGTAATTAGCCTTTGAGTTTGCTATATTTTGAGTTTTCTATACAAAGTTATAAATTTTGGAAGTTTTGGACCCTAATTATTAAACTACAGTTAATCGAAGAGTTGACTTTTTATTTTAGGTTGGTTTCTATAA